GCTACTACTGCACAGAGTTGGAGTATCCGTCCTCTTGCCCTTGCATTGCCTAAGGCAGCTCTCATATATGCAACTCCTCAGGCTTGGGGAAAGAGGAAAGATCTCCTTGTGTCTCTTGCAAGGGAAGATAAGGAGTGAAGGTGATGTAAAAGGCTTGGTCATGTTCAGCAGCGAGGACTCTCAAACTGTCCCATCACATGGCTGTATGGGAAGGGAAGTAAACCAATTACTGGTATTTTCTGGACCATTTTCCAGCTTTCTGCCCTTCAGAGGAATGCAATGAAAATGTCTTTCCTCCTTGTGACTCAACAACTCCTAGTGCCTACTCTTTCAGCAGCTGAGATAAAAGAATGTATAGGCATCACCCTTTCTTGGGCAAAACAGACACTGGGGAGGAAGAAGGAGTACTTGGGGCTGGAGAAAGAAGATTAAAATAGCACAGATCACAAGTATTTATATTCCTGTTGGAAATATTATCCAGACAGCTAAATAGCATCCAAACCTTTGTCTCCTAGTGAATTAACCTACTCCTATTGGTTAATTAAGGAAAGCATGATAATTATGCATTAGCTTCTAGCTCAAAAAACAAGGCAGATTATTGTGACAGTAAACAAGAAGGAAAATACATAACCATGAGCAATATAATTTTTCACATTCTGCTTTTTGCTTATACTTCTTTGGTATTCATGGCAGCTAGGTCATTTTGCAGAACTTAACTGTATTTGCAGAGCTGCAGTATTTAAAAGCAGGCTTCGGACCTGGTGACAAAGTTTAAAATGTTCTGTGGTACTATGGCTTTTGACATCAATGTAATTAACAGCTACTGTATTTTACAAAGTTACACAGCATCACACAGTTTTTACAATGCTGGTAACTGGTTACACATCCTCTATCCAGGAAGTGGTCTGACTGTTGTGTCACCTGAGCTATCAAGTGACTGTTTAATAAGCATAAAAATGCTGTACCAGTGTCACTCACTGAAGAGTTATCACATGAAAATCCATTGTTTCGATACAGCTAAAAAGAAGCTGGGCACCAGTGCGGCAGAAACATCATCTTTGTACCTGAAGGTGGCACTAAAACCACAGGGAAGAGACCCATCACAGTGCTTCTACAGGGCCAGATTTTTAAGAGGAAGTGCAAGCACACCTGGCATTTGTTGCCTGCCAACTGTAAAATACGTATTTCTTACAAGTGTCATGGATTAGAAAAGACAGCTAAATGATATTCTAGTATTCCCTAAAGAATGCAAAACAGTCATATTATTGTATTATTCTTGTTTTCCTCCGCTGACAAATCCTGGGTGAGTGAGCAACTCCATGTTTTTGGCAGTCTTAGCTTCTTCATAAATTTATTGCTTATATTTATTTGCCCTCCCCTGCCCCCCCCCCCGTTTTGTTGAATAATTTGCATGAGCAAAAGTGATTATCAGTCACAAATAAGTTAAATGCTCCTATATTCGCTATTCACAGTTATTGTCATATGAGGAACACAGAGTTACTCAACAGTGTTAAGTAGAAAACTCTCCTCCTACTGCCTGTTAAAAAAAAACAAACTAGATATTTTCTGGAAATACTGCGATATTCAGAAAGGTTAAATTTGGCACAGAAAAAACAAAGCAAAATCAACAAGAACCTATAACACCATTGACGTGTGAACAGTAAGTACAAATATAAATGTTTCAACAACTTAACATCAATCAGAAAAATCTATTTTTTCCACATGATGTACATAAACCATGCTGTATTATCTCTTTTCTGGTTATGTAACCTAGATGCATGAAAATTAGATTAACTTTTCTTGAAACTGTATTTTTTTTCAAAATCGGTTTTTCTTGTTTGAAATCTGCTTTTCCTCAAAACCCATTTTTTCTCTGATGTGGCAGACAAAATTCCTCACACCTTAGCATAGACCTTAATAAAGGTATTAATTGCAGGATACTTTCAGTGTTTAAAATATCATTTAGTTAGTACTAGACTGTTTGTTGTTCCTAATGAAGTAAATGAAAATATCTATGAAATCCTTTTTATTGCAGTTTATTCCACAAATGGTTTTATTAATCTGAGAACATTTTTACAGGATTAGCCCCACAATGAGGCTTACTAAAAGTCTGTAAACAAAGTGCTTACATCTTCCAGAACAGCCCTTGAGTCTGAAATTGTCACAGTTGTAAGCCAACAACCAAGAAGCTTCCTAAAAATACATGTTGTACCATGTAGGCACATCTTTCACACAGCAGCAGCTGGCTACTGTGAGATGTGAGTTTCCAGATCTAGGAGTAGTTAAATGGAATTCAGTGTTTGCACAAAGAACCAGCACACTCACTCTGTAAAACAGCAGAAAATCTCCACAGTCCCTGTGCGCTACGTCAATGATCTTTCTAAAACTTCTGCTACCGAGAATGTAATGAGAGAAGCCAACATGGTTCAATGGTAAGTAATACTGTGGCTGTAGAGAAACATGACCAAGAAAGCTGTTTAACCATATACAGGGCTCCTGCAGTCCAGAAGTTAGAGAATATTGTCCGTCAGGAAGGTGATTTTTAACCCTGTCTCCTCTTAACGATTGTTAAACAATTAGAAGTTTGTAGTTTGCTAACTATTCAAAAGCAGTTTTAACATATAGATATTCCCAACCAACAGGCTTCCCAGAACTTCTAATACTCAGATTTTTTACTATTGCAAAGAGTCTAATAACTACAAAGATAATGGTGTTTTTTACTTATCCATTTGAATGGGTAAGCACCATAAGCACTTCGGTAACATCCATCACTACAGTACTTCTGCATGTTATGTTAATTAGCTCTTGTATTCAGTATCATTTACAACCAATACACAGAGTGGAAACCAGGACAACATTCCATAAACATGTTATCCACTATTATTTATTGTTCAGGGAATAGATGCTCCATGTGGAATCGAGAAAAACAAGGGTATATGCCCAGATCATCAAAGAGGCCAAGCATCTATGCAGCAGACTGATTTCAAAGAATGGTAGATATGTTGATCCCTAATTTCTGAATTTTCTACCTACACTGACTTTTTTTTTTCCTTTCTGATTATTATCATGCAAATCTCACAGACAAGATGGTACCACATAAGTATCTGATTTGCAGTTGAAAAGATCTGAAAATGGCATTTGATCTTTTCAGATGAAAAGTACTATTTGAAATGGTACCTGAAGATGCCGCTGGACATTACTGAAATTTGATAGGCATCCATATGTCTTAATTCCCCTTATTGTCCTTTGGATTAAGGGCACAATGGTTTTAATGATAGTAGTAGATGACTAGGTATTTCTGTAAAACCTGGCCCCAAGAAAACAGAAGTTATTTATATTTCTTCCTTTAGTATTGTCCAGCTCTGGTCTTTTCAGCAGGCACGCATCCCATTAGTTTCCTGTACTTGAATTTTTAAAACTAATTGATTGCTGATTAAAAGCCAACTTAAAACTAAGAATCTTTAAGCCATACATTCATTAGGGATGCACAATTCACCATGCAAGTCATAGTAGCTGGGAAGATGGAAAGCATTTAAGATGCTGGAACTCACTCTTGACCTGTTGAAAGGCCACAGGATAGCAAGACAGTATTGCCCTGGTTGCTACCCTATTTCATGGCTAGGAATAATGTACAGAAGGTCTTGTATTCATGGATCATATGGCACTCACATGCCTCCACCATGTGCCAACATATCCAATGATAGGCACTATACAGCTAGTTATGTGCTGCTCTGAGTTTCAAAGTCAGGGGATTTGTTTTTGCACCTGAAAACTACATTTGGCACCACAGCAAGTGGAAACTATTATCAGTTTGTCCAAAACAAACTTCTGAGCCTGACAGGCACAGCACCTATCAATACTGCAGGTCATAGGACAAAAATTAAATGAAGTGATCACGCGTTGTTGACTCAGTTAAACAGCACAGAGTCCACCGAATTTATGGAAGATATACTTAAATCATAAAAGAGGTAGACATGGTCTTGGACATCAAGACAAACAAAAAATCCCAACAGAGCTTAACTGTTAGGTTGAAAAACTTTAAAAGTAGAAGATAATATAGCTAAGTTATGCCTGATTTCTCTGTTCTAGGTAACAAGGATGTGTTTAACCCATGTGTTCCAGTCTTGGTCTTACACGTAAAAGCAAGCACTGTGATGATTTATACATTCCTCTTAACAACATAGTTAACAGGGTGTAGGTGAGAACAGGATGTGACCTCTGTGAACTATAAGAGTGTAAGAGTGTAAGATTTACCAGAAAGGCAACTTCCAAATTCCACCAGAACAAACTTACATCTTCTTCAACGTTCTCCTTCCCTCAGGGGCCATTGTGAAACACTTTGGAGGTGGGAATAGGACTGCTGAGAGGCGTGACAGGAGGTAGACATTTCCTGATGCCCCTGCTTATGGCTAATGTAATTTCTATAGGTTTTGCTGTGATTATGATAGTTAGGAAATATATTTTCCCAAAATAGTCCATGCACTTGGCATCTAAATAAATTTCTGATCTTTGGGAAAGAGTTCCAGGAGTTCCAGAGTTTCATTTCAAATATAAGTATTTCCTTTTTTGAGGTTTTTTTGCCTCTTTTCAGTTTACCTAAACATCAACTTATTTTCACCATTTTTTATATTATAAGATGAAAAAACTGCATGGATTTAATTTCTTTATCTCAAGGTTATATTGCTAACAGTCAATTTCCCATGTTTGAAATTCTTTTCATAATGCACCTTAGATATAAATATATTACCTCATTAATGATATACTGTTACAGAACAACTACAAAAAAACAAATAAAAACACTTCTCCAGAGCAAATGAATTTTATACGTTTGTGGAAAGAAAGCTCTAATAATTTTTCTCTGTAAACCCCAACAGATATGAAAAATTTTGAAAGTGTCTTAGACCAACTAATTTGTACTGAAAGTATTTGCAAGCCAATTCAAAAAAGTCAGACGTCATTTTTTGTGCATGAATACTAGAAATAAATGTCCTACGACTTACCTGCACAGCCCAGAGGTAGTCTAGACGCAGCTTCAAGTCCACCTGTCTGGAATGCAGTGCCAAAGCACAAGAAAATAGCAAAATTGCCAGTATCGGTTCATAGCCACGCATATAAAAGGAGCCACCTCTTAAAAATAAAAGGAAAGTAAATGGGTTATTCCAGGTTTTCTAATACCTAACACTTCATATTTTTAATATCAGATCTTTAGTTTAGAACATGTGGGTATCCCCTAACCACTAGCCTTTTCTGAAGAGGCTTATATGAGCAGGGAGATGGGTGACAGTAAATCTGATCGCTGCATCACACCAACATTCAATTTCTTGAGGATTTTATACTGCTATGCATTATTGTAATGTGTGTGCAAGGTTTTTATTAGAAAATATAAAAACATTCAAAAGCTCAAAAGCTTAAATGAAATTAGAATTGATTGAGGGCTGCTGAAATATGGAAATGAAATTTTTAACAGTGTTTTTCTATTTCATGTTATAGTTAGACTGCAGTGTTTTCAGCTGAGGTATGTTAGCCTAAAACTACAGAATAATGGGGCAACAGCTGCTAGTTCCCAAAAGATGATCTCCTGTTGATGGATTACTAGATCCTACAGTTGCTGTGGAGAGGATGGCTTAAGTATTTTTTATGTTTTACTGACTATATAGCCCTAAGCAGTATTGAATGCTAGAGGACAATTCACAGATGAGTAGTCAATATCATGACTATCTATACAGAAGTAGCCATTGCTTATTTTTTCAAGATACCTACCCCATTGCTTTTCTGTAACCACTGAGTTCCAAAATAACTATGTAAAAAATTGTAACAAAAAGCAGGAGAATCATTTTTGGCAAGGAAGATACACGTAGAAATATTGCCAAGGTGAGAGTCCCCACTACACAGGAAAGGAAAGCATAGTGGGCTGTGTCACATGGAAGTTCATTCATTGTTTTATTTGTTCCACCAGGAGAAATGATAACTATTGAACTGCTGGAATTGGTATTCCAAACCCAAGGCATACAGCCAACCTAGAAAAGACAGGAGAGGTGAGAACAGGAGAAACTTAAATATGAAATAAATAGAAATGCAGCTGCTATGGGGGCTGACTGAAGTTTGTTTCTAATTGGGAAAATATGGCCATAAAATCTATCTCCTTTTCCTGTAACATTTTACTCAGTTTTAGATGGGACACACTCTTCGTTCATTAGATGCCACTAAGGCCAACCAATTAAAGTCTGATTTTAATTTTAAATTCTGAATTTTAAAGTTTCAAACTAAAAAATTAGTAGAATACTTTCCCTCTCAGTGTTCAAAACCAAGAGATTCTCAAGCCAACATATTCCTACAAAATTCAGGAACTTCAGTAAACATTTTATGTGGCCATGTGGGTAAGAATGGTGCACAGAACACAGAAAGAAATATGTTTGTTTTATTGGCTATGTAAATTGTATTAATTTCAATTAATCAAATATAAAATAAAACATATTTTAATCTTTGATTGAAAAGCTAAACATGAATTTCTTCACTTCAGACTTACTTCTGCTATCACATATAATTCAAATACAAGGCCTCATCTTTAATTATCCCTACCATTTCAGTTACCCAAGGAGTTCCATTTTTTCCCTAGACTGGGAAATAAAAAAATGTTTTAGTGCATTTCCTGTGGGAAATTTGAGGAACTTTAACCTGCTTCTTCCAAAGGCAATGTCATGTACATATCTCAGAGCTGCTACTCAAGGAAGGAGGAATTTCTGGCAAATAGTGCAAATCTCTAGAGCTCCAGTTTTAATTGCACTCCAACCTTCACCTCTTATGAAGGGAAAGGATAACAGCATAAGTGAGGCGAGTGGGATGGTAGTGTGAAATTGATTTTAACAGGCACTGACACATAAGTCCTGCCCTGTTACTTAAGCTTCTCTTTTGAAGTGTGTTATTAGAGCTTTTTATTTCATCTTAACCACTGATAATGAAATTTTATAGCATGCTGTAAGAAAACTGACAACCTGAAAGGTGATTAAGCAATATATTTTACAGGGGGTTGTAATCATTTAAAAAGATGAGACATAACCGATAAAATGTGAATTAAACTCATAATGGCTAACATTATGAAATGAGATGAGAAAGAGTGAAGTGAAAAATTTGTTTAATGCAATTTTGTTCAATATCCTTAGGATGCTGTTCATACTAAACTCATCTGAAAACCTAGGCATGCATGAGGGCTTCCTAAATGATGTGCAATCCATCCAGGAAAACACCATGTGCTCTACAACTAAGAGTGAAACCTCAGCACCTAGCTCCTCTGCTAGCTGAGAATTCTAGAGGCATTACTTTGCAGGAACTAAAAATTTCTGCCTATTAAACATTTCTCCTAAACATTTCAATGGTTACAGGCTATTTTTGTTTCAATAAAGAATAAAATTATATTTGTGACCTATCCTAAGTTGTAACTGAATGATCACTTCCTTGCTGGAGGCCAGAACTTCTGAATTCTAATCTGACTTCTTCCAACGATGTTCAACGTTGCCTTAGGCCTTATTGATGTCTGTTTCTCATTTTCACCATCTTTAAGTGGCAACAATGGTGCTTTTTTCATTTGGTCAAAGTAAGTGTCAGATCTATGGGGGTTGATCCACAAAGGTTCCAGCTATCATAATATTCATCTCAATCACAAAGTCAGACACACAGAACTTGCTGAGATGCTAGCTAGGCTGGAGGCACTGCACATCTCTTTACCTTTTGCACTTATATGCACAGTAAGAATCACATATATGTCTGCGTGTTATTAGGGTTGTGTGTTATTCACACAACTGATGTTCAGGAATTCCCAGAAATGTCTGAACATCAGTAATTCTTGGTGCCTTTCAGGACATTGGAATTTTTAGACAAGGGATCCTCTGCCCATTCAGCTCATAGGGATCAGCTTTGTAAATGGTCTCAGGGCAGGTCCAGGGATGAGTGAATACACAAAATACAAAATAAGGGGCTTGGCATCTTAGTTAGTACAGTGAATTGCTCATGAAATCACTGTGTTCCTATTGGTCAGAACACATTGCCTAAATCCCGCAGAGAGGCACGATTTGAGGCATCTGCCTTCTCAGCATTTCCAGTTGTGTTTAGCGTGCTATTTTTGTGTGTATTCTTTCCTTTGGGTACCTTAACATGTTTAATTCATTAACATTAACAGCCAAAATGCTGAAATTGAGTGCTAGGAATTTGACAAGGCAACTAGATGCCAAATACTTAGGTGGAAGTTTAAATTCCATTTGACATGCAAGTCCACTATGTAGAACTAGCTGCTAATCTACAGTAAAAGAAGCTCAATTTTCAGATGTATTGAGCAAGTTCACTTCATACAAGAGAAGCTTCCTAAACATTAGATGTGAATAGATCATGTAAGTAGCACAGTGTAAGCACCTTTTCTCATTACGCAATACTATGCATATTTTAAGATCTCATTATCTTTTCTGATCTGCCTGGACCAAAAATATCCACCTGTTATTACACAGAAATATGTTTTGTAAGTTGCCACATAGAAATAAGTGATGTTGTTTGACACCATGCCTTGTCTTTCAAAAAATATTAGCGATTGAACTAGTAAGCAAGTTGAACATTTAAAAATAGTTTTCACATAAAGTACATGACCTCAACAGACTATGTGATACTAAGGTTTGATATAAAAATTTCTGTAGGTGTTGACTAGGTATTACCTGTGTAATTTACTATTAGCTTTGCCATTCCTAATTCAAGACCCTGACTCAGGGCAGTGAAAGTCCAAATTATAGAAAAAGGCTTTATTTTTGAAGAAACATGCTCTGCAAGTATGAATAATAAAAAGAGTAGGAATTCACCAGATGAGAATATGGTATGTATTTAATGGATCCGTACCAGGTTGTTCTTTAAACAGAATGCTAAATTAAATAATACTTGTTTTAAATACTCACCACACATCCTTGAGCCACAGAGTATATTAAGATCACAATAAAAATACACAAAATGGTACGAATTTGTATTGTCAGGCACCCTGGAAAACACTAAGGAAGAAAAAAAAGATTAATGGATAAAGATTTAAAATATTTTTTAAAGTGGGTTTGGTTTTTTTTAGTAGCCTATAAAAAGAAGTGAATAAGGGATATGGAAATTTTGCCTGCACTGCAAATTATGAAACAAGCATGCAGTTATTATTGTGAACATGTGTTTTAATGGTAATTGCATTTTTGGGGATAATAAATATGAAATTATTATTATTATATGTTATCTCTCATCATAATTAAAACTCCTTGAAAGGTTAGTAAGATGTCTGCTTATAATGCAAATAATAAATTAGGATGGCATTTAATTTTGTTCCCATGGGGAAAATACCCAAAGTATCTTTTGCCTTGCAAATTATCATCTACAAATAGTGATCCAAGAGAACATACTGTGGTAGCATAGAATTTTGGAGTGGTATTTGTGTCTTCTGCTACAATAGCCACATTAAATGCCAGGGTAGTTTTAATTATCAGGACTCATTAAAAAATATTAAATTTGTCAAAGCAGAAAGAGCAGTAGAGAACAAATATGTCTGGTGGAATGGAGTCTTGTGAATCTCATGCTAATCTCCATTTTTACCCTGATTCCATCACTGTGAAGTGTGAAGTGCTTAGTGCTGTGAGCATACATGAAGCCAGGGACAGAAGGTGAGAGAGGAATGATAAGTCTGTCAGGCTCTAGCACTTATGCTTGTTCCAGTCATACTGATCTACTCTGATTTCAGGGAAAGCTGCTTTCCTTCTTTTGCCTTGCATTAAGAATGTTTGGGGTGTCTACTACCTACTGGATCCAGGATACATCTTTCAGACCACAGGACTTCTTCCAGTGACTTCAAGGGGCAAGAATGAACTCCAGGAAACAATGATATTTAAAGGGGGAACAATTCTGTGTACCTTAAAAGGACAGGGCTCAGACTTACCAAGTCTGGATTTGACTTAAGATAAAATGGAACAAGCAAACACCTAATTTTTGGATGAAAGTCACTAGTCCTGAAAAAAGCTGTTCATTTCATGGGTATCACCAACATCAAAAACATAGCTTCCAGAGGGCAGTAAAGTACCCATAGAGAGGGGCTTCTGTGGCCTTGGCACAATAGAAATCATGTATTGAAACTCCTCCCCTTTCTTTCACATATGCAGAGGCATTTCCCCTACATGTGTGACTATGAATTAAAAGTTTGAGACAGTTATAGGTGCATCAACTTCATCTGGACTGTGAAACATGAGACTACTGTAATTACAGAAAAAATAAAAAACGTGTGATCTGCAAATACATTCTGGCTTCAGTATGGATTAAGTCTATGGGGTGGGGAACAACCAATGTAGTATCAATAGTAGATTTATATAAGCATAGCATGGACCTGAGTTAATTGGCTACACCAGAAACCAGTTTAACTGTTAGTCAGCATCAGTAAAATATATCAGGACACCCAAGGTATATCACCATTAATAAAACAGTGAGCATATTGTAGAACAAAAATCTCAAATTTTAAGAACCTCATGTTGAAAAGTTGTGTCTCAAGGGAGGGGATATAGCAGAGTCCAAAATTACACTGTGAAAAAAAAGAGATAGACTAGTTCTGCATTTATTCATAGTTATCATACAGTTCAGGTTGGAAGGGACCTCAAGGGGCCCAAAAGTACTATCTGCCTTGACCCTGAGGGCCATTTCTATATAGCTGATCAGTACCCAGCCTGTGTCATTGCAGGGGGTTCTTCCTTCTCAGGGCCTGGACTTTGCATTTAGCCATGTTGTATTTCATAAGATTCCTGTTGGTCCATTCTGCCAAGCTATCTAGGTCCCCCTCAATGGTCATACTGCCAATGTGTTGGCTGTTATGACAAAATTGGAGTCACTTGAAAACTTGACATGAGTATACTCCATGTCCCTCTCCAGGTTGTTGATAAAAATGTTTAACAGGACAGGTCCCAGGATAAGGTCCTGTGGTGCCCCTCTTATTACTGGCTTCCAGGTAGAGTATGACTATAAATTGCTGTGCTCTGAATGTGATCATCCAGACATTTTTTTTACCCATCAAATTGTCCACCCAACTAGACCAAAATCCTATGCACACATGAGGTGGAACATGTGTGGGTTTATCCATATAAATAAAATACAAAATAATAATAATAATTTTGTTTACAGGAAATATATACTCCATTAGTTCAGTTTGCAACCAAATAAGCTATCTACTGCTTGTTAAAGAGAAAATCCTCATAGTTCGAAGATAATGCTTCATAGTTAAAAATGACAAAGCAAAATGCACGTTCAAAGACAATGTGTCCTCACACATTGCACGGATGTGTGGTTCTTTGTGTGTGATACGTATATGTTCTAAATGTTGACATGATAGGTTATTGGGTCAAAAGAGAAAATAAACCTTTAAAAGGTAAGGTATGAGACATGTCTGAATAAAAACTCTGACTGACACTGGAAAGACTTATACATCTGACTTTTTGGTCATTCTAAGATTGCATCTGCTCTTTTATGATAGTATAGAATTTTGGGCTTAATTTTCTTTGTTTTCTTTTATTTGTGGAATTTTTATTAACTAAATAAGTACTGTCAGATCCCCAAAGTGCTAGGTAATTGGTACAGTAAAACATTATTATAGTGGTTTTATGAGTGAGCTATTTGATGATAAAACATGTAGAAATTGAGTCACTTGTCCAATGTATAACAGCAAGTAAGTGCCAGAAGACTGATTAACATAAGGGAATGACTGGTTTACAATTCTATATTCCTTATACATAGCATATTCATTATCTTTTATTTATTATATAAGACAAATTCTCACCACAAGATTTCAAACTGCGATATTCTGAGTTTTCATATTTCTTTATTTTTCTAATGCTGGATTTCATCCTGTAAGGTATTGAATATCTAGAGGAATCTGGTATAAATTAAAATTCTGTTGACTGCCAAAACAGCTGGAACAAACCTTAAATTTGCACTAACCCCAGGGAAATGGCATAAAGAGGAGCCATTTCCTACAAACTTCTTCATCTGTGTTTCTACCATCCATAGACAGTACAACAGATGATAAACTACTGCGTCTTTATGAAACAAAAGAGATCATCAAAATTAGTCCCAAATAATTGTGTAGATACTCTGCTAATACACTATTTGTTTCCATGAAAACAATTACAGCCTCCTGCCAAAGGGCACTTTTTCTTAACTAAAAATTAGTGTGTGTTAATCAGCAAAGCTGATTAACTGTGTAGGTGTTTTCTCCTGATATTTGTCTACAAAGACTAAACTTAGATTACGTCACTACAGATTTCTTTAATCAGAAAATTAGTCTGTAGTTTATTTTGATCTGGCAGACCTAGTTCTCTCCAACAACCAAATGTCCTTCTATATCATTATTGTGTGAACATGTAATGCAGGAGAATTAATCATTACTAAAGGTTTTGAAAAGATCAAGGGTTGCATGTGCAAAACATTGTGCTTTACCATCAAGACAGCTGCTACTTTGGCAAGAAAAGTTTTGAAAACAGTGGGGAAGTTAGCAGGACTTTACACCCAGATACCAGTCAGAATGGAAGGGAAAACTAGTGTGCTCCATAGTCAGAAAGGAGAAAAAGTCAGGTTAAAGCAGCTGTTTATCTGAACACTGGAATGATTCAGTAGCTAGTGGTAGGTGTTCAGGGAAGACATAGCAGAAAAGACAAAAAGCATACCATTGATGGCACTGAATGCTACACTGTTATAATGATTACTCATGTAAAGTCTCCTTTCAAGTGAACCATCTTCGTTTTTGAAGTGCCTAATGCAGTACTTAGCAATGACTTGAAAAGTACATAGATTTCAGATTATGAATCTGTGAAGCATGTGCTGATGGCTTCATATTCCAAAGGACAAGCAAAGCATAGCCACCAAAAGAAAGAACAGTCATAAAGTCTTAAATCACTTACTTGTACTCTTGTGACATGTAGGTACATAATACAAGCCACTAGGAAGCATATGCAGAACACCAGGAGAACAAGAACTATGGTACTCCTAGAATCAAAACACAATAGAAATAAAGCAATGCAACTCAGTAGCAGCAGATGAGAACAAACAGCACAGAGGTCCTTCTCAAATGGTGTCGTGGTTTAGCCCCAGCCGGCAACTAAGCACCATGCAGCCGCTCACTTACTCCCCCTCCCCCAGTGGGACGGGGGAGAGAATTAGGAAAAAAAACTCGTGGGTTGAGATAAACACGGTTTAATAGGACAGAAAGAAAGAAGGAAACAACAATGATAATACCAACAAAGGAATGTACAAGAACAAGTGATGCCCAATACAGCAATTGCTCACCACCCCGTGATCGACAGCCCGTCCCCGAGCAGTGATTTCCGCCCCCCGGCCAACTCCAGTTTATGTACTGGGCATGACGTCGTATGGAAGGGAATATCTCTTTGGCCAGTCTGGGTCAGCTGTCCCGGCTGTGTCCCCTCCCAGCTTCCCGTGCACCCCCAGCCTCCTTGCTAGCAGGCCAGCACGAGAAGCTGGACTGTCCTTGACTGCTCAGCAACCCAAAACATCAGCACATTATCAACAGTTTCTCATCCCAAATCCAAAACACAGTCTCACAATAGCTTCTGTGAAGAAAACCAGCTCTATCCTGGCTGAAACCAGGACAAATGGTATTTTGGATGAATGATGAAGGATCTCCCCCTCACCTTTGCTGTAATACTAACGGTCACAGAGGAAATTTCACAGTGAAATGCACTGCTCTCAAGAATGAGAAATCATTAAATGCTCTTGTATATGGTGCCCACTCTGACCTCAGCAAGGAGATGAAAACACCTCAAAAATTCGACTGTATGGTTGAATGGTGTCAGGAGAGATATTTTCTAATTGTAGGCTAATGCAGAATATTCAGCATGATGACTCTTATAGGTAGAGTGGGTAACCCAATTACTTGGCATTGGCAGCTATGTAAGTTACCAGATGCTTTTCCCTCAAATCTCTCCTTCTCAAAGATTCAAAAATCAGAGGTCAGTCAACTCAGTCACTTATCAAGTCAAATGAAATCAGACTGCGATACCTTCTTCTAATGAAACACAGCAACTCCCTCCTTTTGAGTCTTCCTCAATGGTTAGAAAAATCTTAGGTTTCACAAAGATGCTGTAATAGTTCTTTTAATTTTTAATCTTCCCTGTCCCGATCTTTCAAAATAGGCTTGTTCTTCATGAACAGCAGGGTGCAGACCAAGTAATTCCCTGTGTTCCTGTTTCCAATAACACGGAAAACCTGTGTTGTTGGAACAGTACCTTATGGATGTGAGCAAACTGGCAAAAATTAATCCACCAGCATTGCTGCTTTGATTTATGCTCAGGGACAGCCTGGCCCCAAGCCAGCCATGGAACCAGGGCCATATGACAGCAGCATAACATGATCTTCAGACCTTCTTTTCTAGTCTTGTGAGAAAAACCCAGCTGGTCCAGATGATGTGAGCCATGGCTGCAGGCATATATATATCTGTGCGCTTGACCATGACTGGGGAAAGATTGCTTATATAGGGTTTCTAACAGTAGAAGAGAAGAGTACAGTTCTGCTGCTGTAGAATTTCTCAGTATTTGGCTTTGATTTCAAATTCATGTGCTTTGATTTCAAATTAAAATTAACAATTCCCACCAATACACAAATGGGGAAAATTCTGTGGTGTAGTATGTGTATCCAGAATGGGGAGGTAATTCTAGATGCTGTCAGTGTGGGTTCTGAATACAAGTATTAATAGACAGCAGGTTCTCCTGTGCTTTTAGAGAATTGGCTTGTATTCAGAATAGTAGAATGCTAGAAAAAAATGCAGGGGACATGACTGCAACAGCATTTTTTCAGGCAGCAAGAGCCAACAACCGAAACTAGTGCTGAGTGGGACCCTGACAGAGGTTTGGGCTGGCATCAGTAGCAAAGGGCTACATTTTTTAAAAAAATAAACCCAGCATAAGACATCAGGGGTTTTAGTGGCTATACTGCATGTGTGCCTCCCTAATTGGACAGCTTACATTGACAGGAACATAGCCTTGCTTTCACCAAGTCCACCTGGTGATAAAAAATATGTCTTTAGCCGAGAAGTTGTTTTGTTCAGATGATCATAGGAATTGTGAGAATGCAATTGCTTTCTGTGTGTTTATGCAGCAACTGGCTTTCTTACAACATTTTATTTTCTCTAGATTTTGAACCTCTTCCTTGGAATGTTGTGATACATGTCAAACACCATTATTGTCACTTCTCCCGTTATAGTAACACATTACACTTATCTTGTCTTTTGCATTCTCTTGTCATAACTACTTTGGCAATCTAAAGAGCAAATTATAGCTCCAAGTTCTGCAGAGAGGGGAAATTTTCCAATACTTCCAAAGTTTTAGTCTTAGCTCATGGTTGCATTTGTGTCACAGCAAAGGAAGGGCACAAGAAGAATGAAGTCACCACCAACACATACCAGAAGACTTAAGACCATTCAGTGGGTGGCTTTTTTTAACTAACCCAGTGATGAACAAGTCCATCTCCATGGCCTTCAGTGGTTATGTTCTGCTGGAGCTTGTGTGTCTGTCAGATCAGAGCTTAAACTGAATCTCTGTCCAGCTGTTTTTTAAGTGACAGTACTTTTTGGAAAGGTTACCAATGTACCATACCATATGATTCTTGGAAATTCATTCTAGTTTCAATCACGCTAATACTCTTTGTTTCTCATTGTTCTAAATTGCCATGTACTCAGCTGGGCTTTACTTCAGAAGTAGGTGAAGGAGTCTTAACTATGCTCCAATTAGTCAGCAGAGGTCATTAGTCTTGAAATTGGATGATTTTTGTAAGTGACTTTGAATTCGTCAAATGAATATAGCAAAACGTTGCTCCTTTGGACGAATGGAAGAGACGGCAATTAGACTGAAAGTATACCAACAGAGAATGTCCTGTTTGGGAAGACACTGACCTGGGTGCTAATTCCCATTCCAGAGACATTAATGTTTTGACCTCTGAAGGATGCTTGGAGATGTTCCAGTTTGAATTATTGTATTGGGTTTGTGTGGCAAGGTTTTGGTAGCAGTAGGGGTTGCAGGGGTGGCTGCTGTGGGGAGCTGTTAGAAGCTTCCCCTGTGTCTGATAGAGCCAGTGCCAGCTGGCTCCATGAAGGACCCGCTGTTGGCCAATGCTGAGCCCCGAGCCCATCAGTGACGGTGGTAGCACCTCTGGGATAACATAGTTAAGAAGGGGAGAAAAAAAGGGCACACAGCATTTGCAGCTGGAGAGAGGAGTGAGAATGTGAAAACAACTCTGCAGACACCAAGGTCAGTGGAAAAGGAGGGGGAGGAGGTGCTCCAGGTGCTGGAGCTGAGAATTCCCTGCAGCCCGTGGGGAAGACCATGGTGAAGCAGACTTGCCCCCTGCAGCCCATGGAGGTCCACAGTGGAGCAGATATCCACCTGCAGCTTATGGAGGACCCCACGCTGGTGCAGGTGGATGCCCGAAGGAGACTGTGACCCTGTGGGAGGCCCACGCTGGAGCAAGCTCCTGGCAGGACCTGTGGACCTGTGAAGAAAGGAGCAGGTTTGCTGGCAGGTCCTGTGACCCTGCGGGAGACCCACACTGGAGCAGTCTGTTCCTGAAGGACTGAACCCCATGGAAGGGACCCAGGCTGGAGCAGTTCGTGAAGAACTGCAGTCTGTGGGAAGGACTCACATTGGAGAAGTTCGTGGAGAACTGTCTCCTGTGGGAGGGACCCCACACTGGAGCAGGGGAAGAGTGTAAGTAAGTCCTTCCCTTGAGGAAGGGAACAACAACAATGTGTGATGAACTGACCACAACCTTCATTCCCTGTCCCCCTGAGCCACTTGCGGGGAGGTGGTAGAGAAATTGGGAGCAAAGTTGAATCTGGGAAGAAGGAGAGGGTGGGGAAAGGATCTTTTAAGATTTAGTTTTATTTCTTATTATCCTATTCTGATTTTGACTAGTAATAAATTAAAGTAATTTCCCCAAGTTGAGTCTGTTTTTCCCATGACAATAACTGCTGAATGATCTCTCCCTGTCTTTATCTCAACCCACAAGCTTCTCGTTAAATTTTCTCTCCCCTGTCCAGCTGAGGAGGTGTGATGGAGCGGCTTTTGTGGGCACCTGGAATCTAGTCAAAGACAAACCCACCACAGTTATAATGGCAAAAGACAGAAACTTACTGTGGTATTATTAGAAGGTAGACAAGGCCAAATAAGGCAGCTAGAATTAGTGAGAGAACTACAGCACTGGTGAAGTACTCATCCTGAAGCTGGTGGTACTGTTAAAGAAAGGAAGAAATGAAGGCAGTGAGCATTTTATATGCACCCAGCCACCCACACTTGTCCATTCTAAGTAAGAAAAAACTATAGCCTAAAATAAAACTAGCCCCTACCCATTTTGCAAACACACAAATAATCATTACTTAATTCACACACACAAAAAAGATGAGACAAGTCAACACGTTTTCCTTGACAGCCTTCTGTTTCAGCTGCTCCTGTGGGCCTAGCTGTTTAGTTTTTACCCTTTAACTAGTCAAATCTGGTTTAGGCTCAGACATAAGTTTATCTTTTGGAGCAAAAACGTTTCAGCCATTTTGAACCAGAAGGAGGTGGCACTCCCTCCTCTCCACTTATTCATCACAAAAAAAGGCCAAAACCCTCTTGGTGCTGCCTTCAAGGAGTCCTCTCACCTCAGCTGCTCAGGACAGGACACTAATGTGTGGGCTGGAGGCAGCTGCTAATGAGAGACACAGACTCAGTTTTGAGCAGCTACTGTCCCCAATTCTACTAAGCCACAGTCCTTACAACAGAACACTTTTCACTGCTGGAAACGCACAAATGTTTTCTCAGAAAGATCCAAATTTCAATCTAGTATACACCCAAAAACTTTCTTATTTTGAAAGAAAACAATTACAATTAAATAATAAATCACTGTGGAAACTTGAAATCAAAGTTAATGCTCAAGACCTTAAAAAAATGCAGCCTTCTGACTTGAAACAGCAGTGACATGAAATCTTAGACTACGAAGTGACTTACAGTGGAAAAATAAATGCTATTGACAAATTAATCCAATATCATATCACTTTTACTTTTTCAAATACATAAACCAAAGGCTTTTTTTTTTTTTTTTCAGTTAAAACAATCTCTGTTTACAAACAAAGGTAGGAACAAACAGCTCTATTTTGTTAGCTTGTATGGGTGCTTATAAGTCTGGAGTATGTCCACTGCTTTCAGCACACTCACACTGGTGTAAGATCACAACCTTGCCCAGAGGTTTAAGATTTTTTTAATATTTTCTAGGATTGATGGGATCAGTACTTATCAGGCTACATATGCAGAGGGAAGCACCCTGCTGTCATTAACGCTTCTCCAAAGCAGATGTGTCAGTAGGCAGCCACATTGCCATGAGACAGCATCAAACAGGTGACACAGGTCAGGCAGTTTGGAGACGCAAAAGGAAGGCCAAAACACAGGATGTGTAACTTTAGGGGCGATAATCTTGATGAGCAGAAAAATACTGATCTTTATCCACTGAATCTTCCATAGAAGGTGGAGATAATGTCTCCCTCTTATCTGAGAGACAGTGCACATGATTATTTAAAGGTAGCAAGCTGAATTGAAATATTGTCTAAAACAAACAAAAAAACAATGTTAGTTGGCTCATGGTCAGTGAAATCAGTAAAAATAATTTTTAAACCCCTTACTTTATTTTCACGCTCAATTTGCTTATACTTCAGGGTAATGAAGTTCAAGTCAGCCATCTCAGACTCAGTTTGCCGGGCCTCTATCAAACGGCTGATGTATCTGTTTACTCGAGTTCCTGGAGTGTTGTATACAACATTGGTAGAAAAAGAGGAACGATTCCTGAGTTTTTCAGAGGCTGTCCTTAATGCTCTCCTCTGTAGCACAGATGAAGAAAGAAGCACAGATTTTATTAACATTGAAATTTTTCATTGCTGTTCATATCATTTCAAGCTCACAGCCAGGAGGAGGAATTAATTAAGCAGAGCAACTACAAAAGACTGAGATCTTATCTCTGTGTGACTGCCATCTTTTAAAAACTCCTTAGCTGAAATCCTGATCTCATTAAAACCAATGAGAAAAACCCCACTGCACTCCAGGATTTCAATTCTCGTCTGCAGAAATTCTCTTCACATATTGCCCTGACAGTCCGCCACCACCGAGGAAATAATCAGTTTGATCCCAACCAGTGTGATTTTATATAGAAAAATAATTAGAATTTTTTTCTTGATGGAAGGGATTCTGGACATCTTGAAGACAAGATAACCAGGCTCTTCATGATACATGAGAAGTCCTACTGTCCAAGACTGTCTAGGTAACTATGTAATTTGAAAAGGCAGTTTTTCTTAATCTCTTGCACAATGACTATATGTGACTTCAGAGGGTCTCAAATCTCAGGTGTTCCTATCTTTAACTCACCAAGTTGGCTCTCTTGTTAAGACCTCTTGGGTATGCCTGCAGATCCAGATGGAGTAGTCCAATAAATAATCAGAGCTAACCTGTGCTTCACTGAGGTTAACTCCTCCATGGCTAAGATAGCACAACTGACAAGATGATCATTCATAGTCCTTTTCAGTGCAAAGGATTTATCACAGAGCATATCTAAAAGGGATGTCTCACTTTTCACAGAGAGCAATCAGAAGATGGTGAGCAACATCTTAGACACACTGGTGAAAACCTTCTGTTGAGGGCATAGTAATCTAAATGTTTGTGGCTAGATCTGCACTAGTATGACTGCCCATGCCGCAGAACACTGAAAGGATCAGGGCCTTCACAATATACTCTTGTAGAATGCAGCATTTTTTAAAACGCAGAATGAGAAATATGTAGGCCAATCTTGTAAAAGAAAAAACAATCACCTAATGGTTAGCATACTGAGTAGGAAGAAAGACACATCAATTGAATATCCTTTTCACCTCAAAAGGGGTCAAACCTTACTTCCCAGAAGAGTTTTGACAATGAAGCTCAGGCAAGTTGTACTATTTTTATACAGTTAAGGAAATACATTTTTATCTAACTTCTGCAGTATTCAGGAAGAAAATTTGAAACATTATGAAATGACAAGTCTGCTCAGGGATAAGGACAACATCGGCTCAGGATATAATCAATAGAGTCTGGTGAGCTGTTACAGAAGCACACAAAATTCCTCTCTTCAGAGCAGTCACTACTTAATAGCCCACTCTTTAAAGGCTATACTACAAAATATCCTTTTAAACCAGATGGTAAAAAGAGGTGGTGACTGCTATTTAAGTAATTCTGCAGAATGACAGTTTCCCGTCTTATTCCACAAGAAGTAGTTCTCATGAGATCCTCATCAGTAAAGAAACAGTGGACCACAGCAGTTCATTAGCTTACATAGCTTATATGTATATTACTTGTAGCTTATGTTATATGTACACCTAAATACTTATGAACAATGGGAGGGGTTAACTGCTGACTTACACTTTAGTTTTCTGATTGTAAAGAAGAATGGATCTTAGCAAACATAGAATAACTTTCCAAGTCCCGTTTTGCTAGATTTATATGTAGAGAGCAGGTTATACCAGCATTAAACAATTATGAGGCTACTTGAAACATTTTTTTCTTCAAACTATCAGATCCCATTACTTGTTGAGTTGTCTCTCGTATAAGAACTAATTGTTTCAACATGAAAATTAATCTTGTGGACATACATGGATTACAGCTTTCAAGTCCGAACTTCTGGGTTCTGTTAGCCATAGTAGAAATCTTAAATTGCCAGCCAAACAACTATTCTAAATGTTTTTAAACAGAGATAAAGTTGTTCTCTTGCAGAAGACATTTGTCCCAGAAGTTTGTAGGGGAACTGAGTGCTTTCAGGAATATACAATTCTGGTCTTCCTAAAGATAAACAACAATTAGTTGACATATGTTTGCTTAAAGTGCAGCAGAAAGTACATCTTTGGGGATTTTTCATAATCCAAATTTAAGCCTATAGCATCATAATAGGGGTGAACAAAACAACATTAAAAAAAAAAAGAAAATGCTCCTTTGCTTTAAAATCTGGAATAAGGGTAGATGATGGGAGTTATTCCGATACATGGAATAAATTATATTATCTATTCTGCCATTTTGAAATAGGGTTAAAGATATTGTGCTAAATCAAAATAGCTGTTGCTTACATATAATTATTTTCACTAGATTTCATACTTTTATCTCTATTATTATTTCACACAGTAGACTTACACTATATCTTATGCGTGGTCAAGATCTAGTATTTATTTTTTTCAGAAATTAAATAAAGAAACACATGCTACAGTAATGTGCTGGCTTCAAAGCCTTTACAGCTGTAGCTTGTTTTACATGATTTGAGGACTGGTATCTCTAAAGAAACCCTGCATTGCAACATCATGTATGTATATTAAAATCATATACCATGCTCCATGATAAGTGTTACATATTAGGTAAAAAAGCTCAGAACAATTGATTCAGTTAAAGATAGCATTGTAGAACTTCACTGCAAATGTTCTGACATGAGAAAATTTTCATCAGACTCCTAGCAAACCCATAACAGGATTTTCTGCATATACTACCATATTTATACATATATATAAACAAGACACATTTTAAAGTATTACATATGCTTCAAAGAATGTGTAAGTTACTTTTTTTAAACACTCAAGGAACTGTACTAATTTAGAATTGGAAAGCCTTGTACATAGCCAATTTCAAAATAAAATCTGGCGTTTCTGATAGTCTTCACTGAAACTGTGTTTTAAAGGAACTAATGGACCCTTCTCCTTTTTTCCCACAGAAGAAACACAAGCACATGTAAAATCAAAAATATAAAAGTTAGAATACTTTCTAAAACTAAGATTTAGACTGAATCTTCAGTAAATGTATATTATTAAAAAAAAACAAAAGGTGGAGCAATCAGTCAAGATGAATTACTGATTCTAATGCACACATGCCCTTCTTTGGAGCACTGGTGGAGTGACCTATGTAATATTGCCACCTGCTGGCAAAGAAAATGGAATGAGCTTCAAAAGTTTTTTCTCCATAAATTTCTCAGTAGATCCACACACAGAAAAGAAAGTAAACTGGGCTAGTAGTATGTAAAGCAATTTTGAGTTATGGCATTACAAGCCATTCAAGAAAGCAGCATTCATATTTGTATTAGGTACTTTTGCATTTAGGATTTGTATTAGAGACTAAGAGGTTTTTTGGTTAATCAGTTGCCTTTCATTTTTTAGAGAACCATCTAGAGATACAAAATTATTCTGTTATTTTGTATTTGCGGCCATCAGCTTCAGACTGTGATGGACTCATGATGCAAAAGAACAGCTCTTGGTTATTGCAGAAGAAGCCTCAGAAACTCTAACTTCTGTGAATGAAGCCCTTGATAGAAGCCACATAGGCTACCTGTGCTGGCTTGCTCAAGAGGAGCTCCAAATTTGAGGCCTGTTATAATTGTTTTGTTTTTACTGTGAGAAGGCTGTGGGCATTAGATCTAGCTCCAGCAGGAAAAACAGAAACTCCTCTATCAGTTGGTCAAGGTCACTCCATATGTTCTCAGAGCAGGTCTGCTTGATGTGGCCTTGGAACCAATGCCCAAGGAGCCCACATGGATTACCTTATCGTCATCCTCACACGTCATGACATTGGAGAAAGGGATCTCTGCTTTGAACATCTTACGACAGTGCATGAGCTGAACAAGCAGGTAACAGACTGTCTTGAACTTCATTCTTTTGGCAGGCTTAATGTCTGAGAGAATCAATCCAGGAAATATCTGTTGGTCAGAAAAATAATATTTATAACTGTGTCATTACATTCCCATTTACATGATTTAGTGGTCAGAACAAAGCAATATTTTAATTAAGAAGCAATATATTTTGTTAAATGTATATTTGCAGATGAAGATTACTTCATCTTTCTTTTAACATGAGATATAAAGAATCTGTTGAACAGACAGTATTTAAACATGTACTTAACATTTTGGGAACTGTTTTCTACATAGAAATGTAGACTATAAAAAAAGTGTATTAATGAAAAACTCATAAAAGAGGCAATATTTGTATTTCTTTAACCTTAAAATAAATTCTGGAAAAACACAGGAAAAAATAAGGAGTAAATGAGCATTTTTATTAATTGATGTTAAAAAATACAATTTCAGTCTTTTCTTATTTCCTCATTTTGTTACATAAGCCATTGGTAAGCCCATTAAAATCAGAAGAGGATAGCTTTTGCTTTAAAGATACACTTATATACGTGCCCTAAAAGGAGGTTGTGAGACACTGAGGTTATATCTTACATCTTACTTCTTCAAAGCAAGAAATATTACACCACAGAGAAATATTCTCAAAGGATTAGGTATAATCTATTCCTTTTACCACAGGGCTCCCAGTTCAGTAAGGACAAATATTTTCTTGGTTAATTCTTAAGCATGTATTTAACTCTTACTGACTTTAGTAAACCCCTAGCACATGTTAAGATGCTTTCACAGATCAGAATAAAAGTGATCCTTTATTCTACCCTCAGTATTTATACCAATCTTATTCATGCTTCTGGCATGTGGAATGTGTAAAGCAGTGTTCATGAGAAATGTGGAAGGACCCTATGCCACCACAGTATCAGAATTTAAACTTGTAAATTTAATCTTTTCTGGAACAGGAAAATAAAGAAACACAGAGGATTTCATCCCTACTGTTCCTAGGTACAAAAGACAGAGCAAATCACACTCCAAAAAATTTATTCAAATGATCTAGAACCCACAAATGGCACTGAGGATTTTCTGTCTAATCTTCAAAATACTATGATTTACTAGAGCAGTTTACATTATTACTTCAATAATCAAGGAATGAAGAAGGAAGTAAACTGGAAGCATTTACTTAATGCATGTTTTATGGATATCTAAATTTATAGGGACAGGGTAAATGACATTGCTTATATTCTGAATGGCATGTCAGGTATTGGTTTGCTATGCTGTTTAATGCATACAGCTATGCACTTACATTTTCTGGAGAACCAAGGATATATGCTATTGATATACCAATACTCTGTTTAGTCAGTTAACCTGTGGTTATGAAACACACAAATGACTTGTATATAAATAGTTGCACATTTTTTATTAGCAAATGGCTTTGTTATAAACATGTGTCATCTTTCAAATGTGGAAAGGTGCCTAGGTATGCACATGTGTTTTACTGTGTACTGAAAGGCTGATGCTAGCTGAAGCCAGCTAGCATCACCAGCACTGTACTGCATGGTCATCAGCTGGAATCTAAAAGGACACTACTGTATCTAGTGTATAATCACTTGTATAAGTGACAGTTTAACAAAAGTCTCCATGAAGAGGTTCCCAGTATGAACCCTTTCTTTTGAGGGCTTTCTGGCAGAAGACTTACAACTGTATTGCAATAATCGCATAGAAGATACTGTACAAGGATATTCACATACTAATCATCTTTTAGGTGTTCCTAAGGATACCAAGTAGATAGTCATTAGGTTTGAGTATGACAGATACAATCAGCTTTTGAGCTACCATTCCCAACAGCTAAAACTTGCTTTTTTGGACAGGTACTCCACTGACAGAATTTTCTAATTTAGCCATAATTTCTCCAGAAGTACTATATATTTTACTCAGTCTCCTTATCAACATTTTGATATAACAAAAATGAACAATTTTCTTGAAACTCCCTCCAGTTTTGCACTTTGCTTCACTTTTTTAAGATGGAGATAAAAAGAGAATATACAGAAATTTACAGGTGGACCATATCTCAAGAGATCATTAGCTCTTTCTTTACTCAAACCTTTCACTGTGGACATTGCATTTAACTAGGTCAACAACTTTCGTTTTATGTCTCTATCTGATTGGCTGGAAAAGATGCTCCTAAATAAGTACAGAGAGCTACAGAAGCTGCCTGGCAGCCTTCATTATGGATATGCCACAGTAAAGGTGCAAGGGTGGCATGGAACAGGTAGAACATCTTACTAGCAAAAGATTGAAGAGGGCATGACTTAGAAAGGTGAGCACATGGGCATGACTATATCATCCTACAAGGAACTGAAGTCCTGTGAAAAGAGAAGAATTTAGACTTTCCTTGATGCAAACTTCTCATAATAGATGCATCTCTGAGAACAACCTGCAACTTGAAAACTTGGCATGGTACAGTTTGGCTGAGGCAGTGTGGCCCTGCCACCAACATGACTTTTTCTCAAACATATTTCCATGCCGTTTCCTGATTATAACGTCAAAGAAGTAGGTAGAATATTTTTAGTTCATACCATTAACTGCTCTTTTCACTTATAAATCTTACTGACAGATAATATATCAATAGTATATACGCTTTGTATGTTGGAATTATGGGGGAGTTTTCCAGCTGCCTTGGAGTCAAATAGAAGTTTTTCCACTCAGGTCACTGAAAAAAAAAAATGGAGTAGTGTGTCTACTTCTGGGCTCCCCAGTACAAGAAAAACAGTGACAAACAGGAGTGAGTTCAGCAAAGGTTCACAAAAACGATTGGGGTTCTAAAGCATACAACATATGAGAAGAACCTGAGGGAATTCAATTCATTTAGCTGGAAGAAGAGAAGGCTAAGGAGGCATCTAATTCCTGTCTTCAGCCACCTAAATAGTAGTTAGAGAGAAGAGAGAGCCAGACTCATCCCAAGAATGCTCAGAAAAAAGGCAAGAGACAATCAACATAGGCTGGACCAAGGAAAATTCCTATTTGATACAAAGAAGAGAAGTTTAAACCATGAGGATGATCACTCACTGGAGCAGGCTGCCATATCTCCAGCCAGGGAAACATTCAGCACTCACTCAGATGAGTTACCCAGAGCAACCTGGAATTTCAAAAGTGAATCTAACTGTGAAGCTGGCCCTGCTTTGAGGAGCGTGGTTGACCACATGACCTCCAAAGGCCCCTTCCAAATTCAGCTACCATGTGATGCTATGAAAATATGTGGAACACATGTAGCTACTGTTCTTCATGGCTTTCCAAGAACTCACCACTGAAACGACACTGCAATACACACAAGCAGTGCAAACTGACAGTTCTCAGATAATGTAATTTTATATATAGTTTTTTCTTTTCTTTTTTTTTTTTAATGTAGTGGTTACAGGACATATAGATTCTGCACTGGGACTGATGATTTTCCATTCTACTATTATATATACACAATATCAAAAATACAAACAAAGGAATTCTCTCCACTTTCATCTCACAAATCACGTCCCTCTTTTATGTTAATTTTACAGCAGAATAACACTTTTGACACATTGAACTTCTGAGTGGAATATTTAAGTAATTTCCCTGTCTCCTGTAAGCTTCTGATAAAGGCAAGAAATGCAGTACAGTCTGTTAAAACAGACTTTAAAAACAAACCAAAACAAAAAATCCAACCCCAGTGTCTTTCACTCTGCCTTTTCTCTGAACTTGCTCCAGGCTGGCCTTACAGGAAAGATGCACTGCAGCATTCTCATTCCAGCTCATTTTGTCAATGAATTTTACTTTCACACTTCTTTTTGACCCTTGGGATTATCTTTTATTCTGTTCACTGTTCATTCGCTTCATAATTTTAGGAAAGGTTGGTTGTTTGCTGCAACACAACTGGCAAATAAAGTTAAGAACAGCCAGACTATCTACAGCTTTGTGAGTGTCTTTAAGTATGCAGAAAACAAGCAAGCGCTGATTAAAATTCTGGGAAAACACCCTAGTGTTTGAATTGCAAGTAATTGTCTGGTAAGGGATTCACTGATGCTTATCTGGGATTCTCAGAAACAGCAGCAGACTGTTGTTCCCTTCACTATTCAACCACAGTGCTTAAAATGGCATGGGAAAGAAGATACTAATGACATTCAAAAAACATTTACAGAAACCATAAATGCTGTAGCACTACGTCTGTCTGTGCTTTCTATCTTCAGGCAGGCAGGACCATGCCTCTTGGTAGTAGTGGTTGTTCCATTACTATCTACAAGTGATTTTGTCCTGAGATAGGTGAACAAATCTTATTTGGTTTTTAGTTTTTACAGTTAAAATCACCAGACATTCGCTTTTCCATCCTTTTCTACTGCCCTTATGATACATTTTGCGTATTGCACCTCAACTGGCCATAAGTTTTTATAAGGCAAATTCTTAACATTCTGAATGGTGTGGACACTTTCTTGATGCAGATGTAGAAAAAGCTTTTATCAGCTGTGAAAAATAAAACAATCTCTAGGAGATCAATAACAGACAAAACCTTAATACCAGTGCCCTATGTTTCTCCCTTCTACATATTCCACATTACTGGAGGAAGAAAGAGAGGAGAATGATGTTAGAGCGCATAACTAATTCCACCACCACTGACAGCACAAGCTGTGGGCTGTCACATTGACAAGGGTGAACTAGCAGCTTCACAGCAACTGCAGAAATAATCCTGAAGATTTAGAACAACACACTGCAACACAAGCATCATTTCTCTGTCTGTGTTTGCTGGCTGGTAACACAAAGCAGCCTACTCCCCATGTCAGGGTGCACATATTCCAACAACAAGCAATGCAAAGTCTCAGGCACAGAGCAGTCCCTGTCCAGATACAAGCTAGAGCCTCCATCAGAAGGCTGTATATCTACCCGTTAAATCAGATCTGCTAAGGTATATCTGAGGTGTTAAAACCTGAAATGCCCAAGTTATGCATTCAGATCTCTAGTTAAGTTCCTCCTCAGTAGGAGTTGTCAGCCATTGAGAGCAAAGACCACCCTGGACTCTCCTAGGCATAGCAGCAGTGGTAACTGCAGGTAGTCATCAA